AAATTAATATCTGTGACTAATAATTTGAGATTAAAAGACTTGAAGTCTTAACATATATGTTTATTCCAAAAACCGTTTTTGAGTGTATGTTCTACAAAGTTCTGCACTAGATACTGTTCAGGAAATAGACAAGTAAGATGTGTCTATCCTCTAAGACTTCCAGTTTGGTAGCTTAGTATAGAAATTCTGTAATGGAGGTGCAGGTGAAATGCTGGGGGAACAGAAGTGGGGATAAGATCATTTATTTTTCTCAGGAAGGATTGTGGAAGACTTCATAGAGTAAGTGGCATTGGAGATGACTTTGAGGTGAAGGAGGACAAAGAAGGAAAAGAGATAAGGCATGAAGCGATGAAACCAGGCAGAAGAAAGTGTGCAGTGTGTCCTGGGACAAAGAATTTTCTGCTACTGTTGAATAATGGAGAGTAAAGCTGGCTTGTTGTGAGGAAAGCTCATATAAATTTGGATTTTATTCCACAACTAGTAGGATACCAATACTGCCATTGAAACTTCGGGAAAATAACTGGAGATACCAGTGCAGCTGTTTAAAACTGTAGCAAGGGCTGCCATCTTGTAGAGATTTTAAAGAGAAGTTTTAAAGTTTCTAATACTGGTGCCTCTTTTTGATAAATACAAGTTTTATAAATCTTGCCCTGGGATCCTGATTCCCCTTTAGTCAAGAAGATTTGTCAGACTTCACCTTCTATAATGAGAAAACACAGTTATAAGAACAGTCAGTTTTTATAATTTTCCAAATTAAAAAATTGCACTATGATGTTGAATAAGCATTTCCAATTACATTACCCATCTTGCATGCTATAGGTGGGAGTATAATTGGCACAACCTTTAGGAATGTAGTTTTCTGGGGTTTATTGAAACTGTTTGAACCTTTTGGCCTACTAAGTTCATTTCTAGGAAACTGCCTAATGGGAATAATCTGACAAGTGTACACAAGCAAATTCATTGCACCTTTGTTCTTTAATGCTTAAAACCCAAATGTCCTGTCAATAGGGATGGTTTAATAGATGGTACCTTTATGCAATTTGTTTCTAAGTATTCATTAAGTGAGTGAGGAATGTCTGGATTATTAGGGCAAAATTTCCAAACTTTACTCTTTAGTTAAAAAAAGTTGTGCAAGCATTTTTTGTGAACAACTTGATGCTCCAAAATATAACACCACATTACTAACGGTGGCTTTGTTAGGAAGCAGAATTATGGAAGAACTTTCACGACTGGCTTTACATATTTCTATGTTTTAATTTTCTATAAGCATGTATTTCATAAACTTAAATAAAGAAAAAAGAACGCTGCACTTGCATTCCTGAGAGATTCTGATATGCCTTCTAACAACAAAAATCAGAGGTAGATGCTGTTAAAGGCCAAGAAGAAATGACTAGTACAAGGAGATGAGAAAGCCCCTACCAATCTTTTTAGCAAAGCTTCCACTATTGTGTTCAAGTTAGGTATACATATCAAATTCTGAAAAGCATTTAAAAAAATCTGTTTCCCTGCTCCATGCTGGTCTGTATTACAGTGTTTCTTGAAACTTCTGTTGCATTAAGTTCATCTACCATAATGTGTTCATGGACCCTATGAAAGGTGCAGAATTTCATGCATGTGCCCTTTTACTTACCTGACAGACCCCCCACCAGGGTTAAGTCCCAATCTCTTCCACTGCCCATTGCATATAGCTTAAGTGTAGTCAAGCTATAAAGTGTTACCAAAGAAAGGCAGCTCCACAGACTGGACTCATTCTTGTAACCACATATCTCAAGTGAGCCATCAACAATGACCAAAATACACATCTCCATAGTTAATGCCTTTTGCCTGCTGTTGCAGAGGATGAGCAATCAGCCTCACAACAGTTCCCTCTGTGCAGTTGTTGCCATACACTCTTGCCCTCCCAAGGACCTTGCTCCCATGATTAAACCCTTTCCTGTACCATGAATTTCTTCCCTTGGCCCTAAATGAATGTCATCAAAAAACAGGTTTCAATACTCCCTCTTAGAAAAAAAAAAAAATTACTAAACCTAATGTTTCCCTCTAGGAATATACCCATTTCTCTACTCTTATAGCTAAACTTGCAGAGTTTTTGATGAACTTATTTCTATTTCCTCACTTTACATTTTCTCATTTTTTCAACCAATTGCAAAAAAAAGAAAATGTGTTAAACATTTTTCTTTTGACAAAAGGAATTGGTAAGTTAATGAAATAAGGAAAAATAGTAAATAAACTTAAAAATTGATTTTTTTTGGTACAAAAATAGGTAAACCTAGATAAACCAATTAAACAGAAATATCAATAATAGAAACAAAGGGAAGAGGGAAGTAAATAACAAAAGAGCTGTCGAATTCCATGCCATTCGCCAAACAAAATGATTAGTTTTAAAGAAAAAATTAGCCTATGGCTATTTCAAAAAGATACAGAAAACATAAACAGATTAATTGCCATAAAGAAAATGAAGTTGTCAAAGACAAACACCCCTACCACCACTAACATACGTCACTAAACCCGAAGAACTTCAGAATTGAGTCCTTAAATCATTCCAATGCACTTGAAATTTTTTCTAGGACCTAGATAAAGAAGGAAATCTTGTGTGTGTTTTTAAATGTTAATATAACAAAGACACCCAAATCCAATAAAGAACAAATAAATTGTGGTTTCATCTCACTTATGGATGCAAATATTATTAGGAAAGTTTAACAAAAGAAGCCACATACCCAAGCAGAGATTATTCTAAGAATGCAAGGATGGTTTACTATTAGGAAATAAGTTAATTAGCTATATTGATTTAGACAAGGTAGAAAATATGAGCATCTTCATAGATGCCGAAGAAGGGTTTCTATATGTAGATAAAAAGAAGACAGAGTTTTGCTCTGTTGCCCAGGCTGGAGTGCAGTGGTACAATCGTGACTCACTGCAACCTCTGTCTCCTGGGTTCCAGCGATTCTCCATATAATTTGAAACTTATTCTTGGTTAAGAAACTTATTAGCATAGCAGTAGATATTTTGATTAAATATGACTCTTCTTTCTTAACTTGGTCAGGGAAAGTTTCTCGTGAAACTTCTTTAGAATTTAGAAAGCTGAAAACCAGAATTCTCATGGAGAATTTCTGTCTTTCATTGAGAATAATTTGTTACCTAATTAACATATCAAATAGAAATATTGATACCTAAGAGTCATAAATTATAGTTTAATTTTGTAAAAACTGAAGTTTACTGGACTCCTGTGTCTTAGAATGGTAGAAATGGGTGTGCTTTCTGCTTGATTTAAAAGTGTGACCCTCCTATCTAAATCACATAGTACTCCCTAGCTATCGCCTATTTCTGCTCTATGTTTCTCAATTATTATTTTTTATTGTTTGTTTCACCCAATAGAATGTAAGCCGCAAAATAACAAGTCTATCTTTTTTTTTTTTTTTTTTGAGACGGAGTCTCGCTCTAGCTCCGCCTCCCAGGTTCACGCCATTCTCCTGCCTCAGCCTCCGGAGTAGCTGGGACTACAGACGCTCGCCACCTCGGCCGGCTATTT